GTGATCTTAAGGAAGGTTTACTCTCCCTCACGCAGCAGTAATCAGCTGCCAACAGTTCTCAGGCTAGGACTGACCTGCTGCCCATTTCTCTCTCTCTCTCCACTCTGGGCCCTTGTCTCAGTCAGCATGGGTCTTGTGCACACCGTCATCATTGTTGCAAGTTCACATGAGGGAGCTTTCAGTGGCCTGAAAACCTCTGTTTTCTATGTTCATGGACCAACTTATAATCTTTCTGCCCCCTCTTCCACAATGGTCCCTGAGCCATGGGTGGATGAGGTTTAATATAGGAGTCCTATCCAGGGACACACACTCTGCAGTCTCTTATTCTCTAAAACATAGTAGGTTGTGGCCTTCTGTATGTATCACACTCTGTTGTATGAGAGCTGAGGTATGCGCTAGTAGTCTCTCCACCCCTGTTCTGCTATGTTCTGTGAGCCTTAGGTATAGAAGTTACACTGTGGATGTGTCACTTAGGGATGGGCATCTCTCAAACATGTATTCTCTGTGTGTTACCAGTTGTGGAACTCTGTAATAACCTCCAACTGTTGCAAAAAGCTTTTTTGATGAGTGGTATATGGTACACTTGTCTGTAAATATAAGGATCCATATTTAGAATATGGTAAGAAATTTCATTTGTCTAGAGATATGACAGAGGTAGGGTTTTTCTCTAGGGTCTGTGAACTCTCCAGCCATATGTATTTAGCTATAATTACAGTGCCACCCATGAGTTCCCTCCCACTGAGAGGGCTTTAAGTCAAATTAGGTAGTTGTCAGCTAACCCCACCCCCAAGATAACAAAGCCACTACTGTGCCAGTAGAGGTGGTTTCCTGAGCCAGTTATTGTAATTATTGGGCTTTAGAGCTGGGTTGGACTTTTTATTGATCTTCTCCCTTAGCAGCTTGCATAGTAATCCTCTAGAACTATGAGAGCTAGTCTTCAGGGAGACGATTTCCAGGTCAGTTTCAGCTCCATTGCTCCAAGTCCTTTGTCAAAATACATCCTGTCTTGAGCAGTAGGGTCTTATTTTCAAGTTCTGGGCAATAACCCAGGACTTCAGTAATAGCCTGTTATTTTGGGAATCTCTTGGACTACTCTGACCAGCAATTCGAAGAGAGGTCTGGCACTGTGCTCCTTGCCTTACAGCCCCCAGGTATACACATGCACTAACGTTCAGACACTGTATGTGTATTTCTCAGGGCCTCCAGAGCCAAAATACTTCCCTCTGGCTTTCCACACTACCAAGGTTCATTCATCTCTCCTCTCTCTTCTCCTGTCCAACCTCCCTCCTCCTTCCCCAGTCCAAATGCCCCATTTTCCCCACCTTCCCCCTGACAACACCCACCTTCCACCATCCCCCCTCTCCTAAGTTCCCTCCCCTCCACCCCCATGGTCCCCTGCATGTCCCTCCCTCCGCCCCTCTCAGTGAACATCCTAATTTCTCCCACTTTTTTTTTTTTTTACAAAGTAGCCCAGACTAACTTCAACTCATTATGTAGCTGAGGATGACCATGAACTGATGATCCTTCTGCTTCCACTTCCTGAGAGCTGAGTTTAGAGGTGTGCCCCACCATACCCAGTTTTATAAGGTGCTGGGGATCTAACCCGGGGCTTCATGTATGCTAGGCAAGCACTCTACCAGCTAAATTATGTCATCAAATCAGTAAACCACTCTCAGTATGAAGACAAAAATGGTTAAAAAGTTAAAAGAAAAAATTACAAATACTGGCATTTGGAGAAGGCAAGAAAGTTAAAGTGGTTGTAGTAGTAATACAAAATAGATGATAGAGCAAAGAATATTACCAGGAATAATAATAACCATTTCCTAGTTATAATGAGGTCAATTCATCAAGAGCAAAAAAATCCTAAATATTTCTGCACTATTAGAGCTATAAAAATACATGAAGCAAAAAAAAACCAATAGAACAGCAAGAACAAATAAATACAGAATTATCCTCATAGATTTCAATACTCTTACAGTAATTGATAAATTCATTTGAATTTAAGTTATTACATGGACAGATTAACCTAAAATATATTGCATAGGCTTTTTATAAAATTATTTTAAAATAAGATTATAACTTGCAGAAATATTTATAATTTAAAAATCAATTTCAGAGTTTCTTTGGTCCAATCTCTCTATTACTGTATCTTTGATAATTTTAGTTTTGAGACTCATTCTTAGCAGGGTAATTTTGATGAAGGTTGATATTGCAGTTTTACACAGAGGATGCACTTGTATGTTATAATCATTCTATTTCTGGTGTGGACTGACTAGGACTGAGAATTGCTGTTGACATGTAGCCCAGCCCTGTAGAAGCAAAGGTTGCAGCTATGGTAATGTGTGCATTGGGAATTTGCACCCGATAAATATTACAGTCCTGGTTTGTTCCAGCTATTACTGTAATTCGATTCTGAAATGCTGTGTGCAGAAAATTGAGGAAAAATAGGCTGCTGGAGAGAGGGGTAGAGTAAGGTACAGCTGATTCCCGAAATTTTGTTTCAAACAGAATTTTAAAATTACATGAGACTATTTCCTGCTCACTTTCCTAGGGGAACAGATAAATCTTTCTTCTAGATCTTTACTCTTACCATCTATACCCTCAAAAATATTCATCTTGGGACTGGAGAGATGGTATAACAGTTAAGAGCCCATACTGCTTTTCAAGAGGGCCCAAGTTCAGTTCCCAGCACCCAGTCGGGTGACTTGCAACCTGTAATTCCAGCTCCAGGAAATCCAGTACCCTCTTCTACCCTCCGTTGGCACTGATACTCATGTGATACATTCATGCAAACACATATACATAATTAAAATTTTTAAGAATCTTTAAAAATATTCCTCTTGTAATTAAAACAATACCATCTTAGCACTCAAAAGTCCCTAAAATCTGAATCACATTTAAATTCAGGGTTTTATTTTTCCTCAAGAGTCAATAGAACAATAGTGAGATCTAGTCTTCAGTCTATAAAGCATTGTGTGCATCATGTTTGCATATCAAAATGCTGAATGTTGAACACTGAATGCGCCATGCTGCTGGTCATTATCTTCAGTTTCAAATTTTAGTCAAAACTCACATTGGCTATGTTGGCAGTGTAGTCTTTCTATACTTGCTTGGTCTCCACAAAGATGTTCTCCAGTTGTTTACCCACATGCATCCGCTTGTCTGGTGTGCTGGATAGCTTTAGTGTCAACTTGACACACCTGGGTTGAGGGAGCCTCAATCCGGGAATTGCCTCTATTGGACTGGCCTGTGGACTCTTCTTGATGAGTGATGTGGGAGGACCCAGCCCACTGTGGGTGGTGCCACCCCTGGGCAGGTGGGCCTGTATTGTATAAGAAAGCAGTCTGAGCAGGGGCCAGTTGGAGCAAGCCAATAAGCAGTGTTCCTCCATGGTCTGTGCTCCAGCTCCTGCCTCCATGTTCCTGCCCTGAGTTCCTACCTCCGGCTCCCTGATGAGCTACAACCTGGGAGATATAAGCTGAATAAACCCTTTCCTCCCCAAGTTGGTAATGGTCCGAGTGTTTTGTCACAGCAATGAAGAACAAACTAGGACATCTGGCTTCACCCTCTCACACACTGAAGCAGAGTGTGATAGTAGAGAGCAAAAAGGCTGTGAAATCAGAGAACCAAGGTCCCATTCAGCCTCAGCTCCACATCCTACTTGCCAGCCGTGGGCAAAGCTCCTTACTTCTCTGCCTGTTTTTTTGTTTTTTGTTTTTTGTTTTTTTGTGGGGGGTTTTTTGTTTGTTTTGTTTTGTTTTGTTTTTTGAGACAGGGCTTCCCTATAGATAACCCCAGCTGGCCTGGAACTTGCAGTGTAGACCAGGCTGGCCTCTAACTCACAGAGATCCACCTGCCTATGCCTCCTGAGTGCTGGGATTAAAGGTGTGCATCACCACACCTGGCCTCTGCTGTTTCTTTAAACGCATATGTAGGGATGATAGACACAGGGCCATTGTAAGGAAATGCTGAGGTAATTTGGTAAGGAGAGAGGGAAAGAGGGAGGGAGAAAGAGAGCGAACACAGGAGGGAAGGAGAGAAGGAACAAGGGAAGGAGGGAGGGAAATGGAGCAGGCAAACCACCTTTAAATTGCAAAGAGTCTTAGGGAAACCACACAGTGGTTATCTTTTAATAAAGCAACATGATGACAATACATCCTATATTGCAGAATTTATGAAAACTGTTATTTAAATGTAGTGAGTACTTAGGCAGAGAAGGTCTACAAAGAATACTACAAAGTAAGAAAACTGTTTTTAATTCCAAAGCTGTCATTATCATTAAGTAGCCAATTCTGATTGGTTTATTTTATTCTACTACTTCAGTCAGTGAATTGGACACGAATTGGATACAGTAGATAGGTGCTCAGTGAGTACACTCTGAGAGATAAAACCAAAGAAATTGTCTACGTTTTTACCACCCTTCTCTGTCTGATAGTAAATGATCTCTCTCAATTTAAGGAAAATCTATAAAACTGACCAATATTTCTAACATTGATGTATTTCTCTTTAATGATAAGCAGATGGACAAATGTGATTCTGCAAAATCTTTTTTGTATCAGAAACTGGATTGCAGAGTTTAATATTCACACAGATTAATCCTCTGCCTCCAATTCACTAAGAAGCGCCAGAAGAATTCGACATCCAGCCCCCAACGTGGTGGTACACACCTTCAGTCCCAGCACTCTGGGGGCAGAGGCTGGCAGATCTCTGAGTTCAAGTCCAGCTTGGGCAACATAATGAGTTCCAGGTCAGCTAGAGCTACAGGGACATCCTGTCTCAAAAAGAAAAAAAGGAAGGAAGGAAGGAAGGAAGGAAGGAAGGAAGGAAGGAAGGAAGGAAGGAAGGAGAAAAGAAGGAACTTATATCTACTTACAGATAATCATGGTGAAAACCAGCTGACCACTAAACCAGATCATGAATTTTGCAGTTTTCCAAGCAAACTGCCATAAGCCTCTGATGTTCCTGGTCCTTAAACACTGTTTGTTTTGTCTGTCTCCCAGGTCTCCTGTCATGGCTGGAGGTCTCTTTGCTGTGGATCGAAAATGGTTTTGGGAATTGGGTGGCTACGATCCAGGTTTAGAAATCTGGGGAGGAGAGCAATATGAAATCTCTTTTAAGGTAAGCTACCACAACTCTTTGCACTCCACATTTACATTTACGAGCTTTTGACAGTTCTTACAGAATATCCTCTCTTCCCTTTGTGATCTATGTTGTAATTTGAAGCAACACCTCTGTAGGGAGCTTTTGGATAAGAGACTCCTCCTAGGGTTACAAGGACACATAGACAAGCCATGTGAAAAATCCTTTACACTCTGTTTATAGATGGGCAACTTATAAAGACATAAGAATTACAATGAATTAAGAAGAAATCAAGTTACAGGAATTTTGCCTTTCATATTCAAACAAGAGCTAGCAGCTCAGGTTCTGGATTCTAACCAGCTATTCCAAAATTCCAAGAACTGATAAGTTAACTTAAAAATATAAATGACAGGGTTGGAGAGATGGCTGAGTGGTTAAGAGCACTGACTGCTCTTGCAGAGGACCCGGGTTCAGTTCCCAGCACCCACATGGTGGCTAACAACCGTCCTAACTCAAAATTCTAGGGAATTCAATACCTTCTTATGACCTCCATGGGCACTGCATTACATGTTGCACTTGCAGAGAGGCAGACAATACACTAATACACATAAAATAAAATAATAAATAATAAATAAATGACAAATTGAAGAGCAAGTGTTCAGTTTTGTTTCATTTTATTTTGTTTTTAGACAGGGCCCCACATTGTTCAGGCTGACCTGAAACTATGTAACCCAGTGTGGCCTCAACCTCATGGTCATCCTTCTGCCTCAGCCTCCAAAGTGCTAAGATGTCAGGTGTGAGCTGGCTAGCTACAAGCAAGTTTTTTGCTTATTTCTATCTGGGATTACCCAGGTCTGTATTTGCTTTAGTGAACAATTGTCAATAAAATGCTATGCTTTATTATGTACATGTATGAACATACTGTATATATACATACATATGTGTGCTTATCAAATTTCATCAAATTTCTTGGATTATAAATGACAAATTTCATCAAATTTCATGGACTATAAATGACAAACTTTAAATTATGAAGACTAGTTAAAGCAAAATAAATCATGTAAAAATCATATTCCAGACTGCCAATATTTTTTGAAAGTGAAATTTTATAAAGAAACTTTCCTTTCTTCCCTTCAATTCAGCTATTGTTTATTGAGAACTAAAGGTTGACCCTTATAACATTGTCATACAGAAATCTCACTAAGTTCCGTTTTGCTAATTATTTCTATTACAAAGTCCAAACAAGTCTTGCTGAAAGAAAATACACTCTGAACATAATAAAAGTCAAATGTAAGAACCCAACTAAAATATTTTAATTTATGGAGAGTAAATGGCAAACTGGCTTTTATTAGACTATAGCTGTGCATTAACAGAAATGTCATGCTTTCCTCAAAGGGTCAGAAAATGAACATCCTCAATGGAAACTAGAAGGTGTGATTACAGGCTTCAGGACAGCTGAAATCTGCCCCCCACCTTTCAATACCATAATACTAAATTATTGTATTTTTCGCCCAGTCAAACACACATAATTTTGCATCTAAGATATTTTTCTTACATTTGTAGATGTATTGTTTTAAGCCTCTGAGCTTACCAGTATCTTTGGGTTCCTCTGTTAGAGCAATAGTTACACATCTTGTTGTAGCAACATGACAGAAGGTAAAATGGCAATACAGGGCTGGAGAAATGGTTCCACGTGGGCAGTTAAGAACACTGGCTGGTGTTGCAGAGGACCTTGGTTTGATTCCCTACACCCACATTGTGATTAAAAACCATCAGTGACTCCATTTCCAGGGACTCTGACCTCCCCCCTGCATGCACCCACCTACATGCAGGCATTATACACATAAAATAAAAATAATAATTAAAATACTTTTTAAGGAAAAAAAGAAGGTAAAAGGGCAGTAATAGTTACAGAAACAATATCCACTACATTTACTTAGAGCTGTAATCCAAATACTGAACTGAATACTTTGTGCATTAGCTGATTTTAAAATCACAAGCATAAAAGATGTACATTGTCATTTCATTTTACAGATGAAGAAACTGAGGCTTACAGATCCCTAAGATTAAATTTTTAAGTTTTAAATATTAAATAAATTATCTAGCGCTGCTTGGGGATTAAGTGCCTTGTTTCAGCTTCATTGTTAAGACTGCAGAAACATGAAATGGTTTAACACACAATTCATAGAAACCCATCATTCTCTAGTACACTGTTAATCTTTTGACCCCTACCTAATGAGTTCTCCTATGAATGCAGATAGCATCCTCATTATAATCTAATTAGCACAGCAGAAAACTTTTCTGCTAAACTTGGTAAAATACTATTATTAAATGTTGCCCAAATATTAGCTACCTGCAAAGCCTATGATAATATCTTCAACTGGAAAAAACAGGGCTGGGAAATATGGTTTGGTGGGTAAAAACACTTGCCGTGCAAGCATGATGGCCTGGGCTCGATCACTGGAACACACGCAAAGAGCCAGATGCAGTGGTGTACTTCTGAAATCCCAGCACTCCTGTGGTGAGATGGAGGTGGAGACAGAGTATCACCCAGAAGCCTTCCGGCTAGTGAGCTTGGAGTGCACAGTCCAGAGCAAAATCAAGAGAGACCCTGCCTCAAAGCAAGGTGGAGGAGAGACCTGACTCCTGAAAATTGTCCTCTGACTGCTAAAAGCATTCTGTGGCCCTCCCTGCCCCCACCATACACACACACACACACACACACACACACACACACACACACACTAAACAAATAATAATTAAATAAAAAACAAACATTAAAAAAACACAGAGCACTACATTTGATCCTAGCATTAATGAAAACACTGCACTGTGGTATTTTTAATATCAAAATTGCATTTTGTAATATCAAAATTGAAAAGATATTTTTTATTTTTCATAGTTCAAGACATTTTCCTTTATGTTCTCTGGATTCGTGACTGCTTGAAGTTTAAAATATTAGAGAGAATTTCCCATCAGCAAGAGATATCTGTCTTTGAATAATGAGCGGATAGGCAAAATTGCTGTTGAAAGGACTATACTTCCATTCTAAATCACAAAGGCACTGTTTAGGCAAACGAACTTCCATCTCACTACAGTGTCACTTGTACCTATCACATCTCTTCTGGATGACCCAAGATTTTATTACCCCATTTCCTGTTTTTCAGTTATCTGTCATTGTGAAAGATATAATCGGATTGCAGCCCTCTCGTCTTTGTCTAAAAACCATAGCAACAGTAATGGAAACTCGGGACTGAATGAGCCCAGGTTGTTCGGTTAGAATGACAGATTCTTTGCTGATAGTTATGTTTTAACAGGGTCCCATTTCAGACAAACCCCTTCATTCTTCTCACTACTGTTTTCTGACCTTGGGTTTTCTCCCTCTCTGTTAGTATTTATGAGGTAGACAAACTTGATCAGACTTCTAGGTAGAATCTGCATTGAAGCCAGAAAAATTTGTGTAAAAGGAATCAATCAAAAGCCTTTGTGCAAAATAGCTCTGTTGAATGGTAATTAAAAAAAGAAAGAAAGAAAAATCAAGCATCTGCATTTTTTGACATGTCCCATAAATTGTGATTAATCTTACGGTGTAAAGTACTGCAAGATACATACTGGGCAGCACTTAAGGTATGGAACACAGGGGTGGATGACATAGAGTTTGAAGATGCATTTTACACCATAAAAATTAAATTATTCTAAGTCTATGACTTAAATATTATCATTTAAAAAATTTTTATAAACAGTTGTTATCAGACACCTTTTCTTCCTGTTTACTCTTCAAACAAACAGAAAATTACTTCACAAACGTTTTTGACAGTTGACAAACGAAAATGTCTCTAGAAAATTCTGTCATATGAAGGTCTAACATTGCTCTGTTAATAAAGTTCAAGTGTCTTTCTCCCTATTAATTTTTCTAAAAATAGGAGTAGATTTCATGGCATGATTTAAAAGCCAGACAGTGTAATTTTTAGGAGTTAGCTAAGGAAAAGATCTCTCTCTAAAGAAAGAATTTGCCTACATTGAATTCAGCCTGCACTTTTTTTTTTTTTTTTTTTAGACAGTCTCCCTGTAGCCTCAGTTGGCCTGAAACTTACTATGTAGACCAGGCTGGTTGGCCTCAGTCTCACAGAGATCCACTTGCCTCTGCTTCTCAAGAGCTGTGATGGGTCACAACACCCTGCCCTGTACTTTTCTCAAAATGAATCTGCGAGGGCCGGAATCACCCAGCTGTCTTCTTTTTTTTTCAGTTTTTATTTATTTGTAAAATAATTTTTATTGAGGTGACTGGAAATATGGCTCAGCAGTTATGAGCTCTGGCTGCTTTTGCAAAGGGCCTAAGTTCAGTTCCCAGCACCTACATGGCAGGTTACAACCATATATAATTCCAGTTCCAGGGGAATCCAACACTAACTTCTGACCTCCATGGACACTGTATGACACAGGTACACTTACCTACACACAGGCAATATACTCATACACATAAAAAATGATAAAATAGTTTTTTAAAAAATAATTTTAATTCTTTGAAAATTTCCAGTGTATTTTGATTATATTCAAATCCCACTTGCAATCTCCACACTCAAATTACTATTCCCCAACTTCATGTCCTCTGTTTTTGAAGGCCTATTGAGTCTAATTTGTGTTCCCCAAATGCTCTTGGGTATGGGTCCATTCCCTTGGGGCCTGGTCAATTTACCAAACATAACACCCTCAAAGAAAAGTCGACTATCCCTCTTCCAGCAGCTATCAATTGCAATAGTTCCTCAGCTAAGGCTGGGAATTCTTGCCAGCCTCCCTCTGAAATGTTGGGATTTTGTGTGGCTTGAGCTCTTGTGAATGCTGAACCTCAATTAGGGAATTACCTCCATTGCTGTGAGTTCATCTATGGAACTGTCCTGCTGTCTGGAAAACATAGTTTCCTCTGTTGCAAGGGAAGAGAAAGCAGTATTTAGCCAATCATTCACACAGATTTTATTGAGCATCTACTTTATACTAGGCATAGTTCCAGGTACTCAATTTGTAGTTGCAACTGGAAATGA